CTGATCGAAGATAGGGCAGATTCTTCTGCGTGCGTATTTGAGGGAGCTAATAACCGAGAATTAACGGCGATACGTTTGCTATGTTGTCTTTTTGTGCCTGAATGTTTGTAGAGTGCCCAAATTTTCGGCCATTGTTCGCAGCCTTATTTTGTGAATGGATCGCGTCAGTCAAAGCACCAATTGAATGATGGTATTTCCGGCTATCATGCTATTTCTATTGATTTACAGGCACTAGCATGTTTATTTATTTAATGGCCGGAATTTCCGGTCTTTGTTCGCTGGCTCATTCCGCTAAACGAAACGCCAATTAAGCAGATGACTTTTCCGGTCTGATACACCAGGTATTGAATGGGTGGAATGGAAGATTTTGCCGCAAACCGCTGGTTGGTTTCAGCGCTCAGTTTTTGATCGCACTGTATTGAATCTGTGTATGTGGACAGTGGTCAGCTGCACGTCACCTCCGTTATTCAACTCACCGTGTTATATATCAATGGGTAGCTGTTTGTGAGTGAAGTAGATGGTCATACTAGTGAATTTCTTATTACCGTTCTATTGTGATGACTATGTGACGTCAGTACTTTAGCGCGCAGGCTGCGATCGTAATTGTGAATTTATGTCAAAGACTGATGGCCATCCTTAACAACGACTTGACTTCTCCCATAATATTGACTATCAGTGAAAAGCTTCCTGCGAATAGAATACGAAGCCGGGGTCAGACTGTGAAAATGAATGATTTTAATTTTATGGTACCATCGTTGTACCGCGCGCGGTCGCTAAGTCAACGCGCTGTTTTTTTTGATCGCTATTCGGCATTAATATCATTGCAGTGGTGATCTGTATCACCTACTTGATATAGTCCCTCAAATCATACATCGTTCGAAGGCTCTTTGTGCTTAGAATATGGAACTTTTGTTATAAGTGTCAATTTTAAAGTTGGTTTCGTTCATCGTATGCCTTCCCTCATGATGGACCGAATCGTGCAGTTGATGCAGCTGACCACTGTCCAGCATTATATTTTCAATACGGCGACCGCAGGACCAAGCGCTGACATTGGCCATCGGTTTGTGCCAAAACGCCAAATATGGGGGGGGGGCGACTTCCCACAACTTAGCACC